ATTAGCGTTAGTCAGAAATGCTTTTGACAACTGATTTTTTTTTTTTTCTGTCAGAAAATGCCAATTTATTTGAAAGGTATTTCTGTGGGAAAGAAAAGCTTTGCAGGAACTTGTAATCTGAAGTGATTTCTTCTGTCCTGATCAGGATAAGCAAGAGTTTATGTCACACTCCCAGGATATAAATGACGATGGGTCAGACCTGGTGCCTGAACCTGAGTCTCCTGCAATCCAAGTATGTGCTGAAACCATCAAGCAGTGAGGGAGGGCTGTCTGTGTGTCTCTCACCTCTTTTCCTCCCATAGTCTGCTGTGGTTTTTTTCCACACAAAATCAGGATGTTCTGTTCATAAGCAGAACAAACATTTTCAATCATCTCGTGAATTTAAAGCCCAGATAGATTTCTTATTCAGCTCTGACTCTGGACCCTTTCCTTAGCCCACCACATTCATCACACTAGTCCATAAACACCATGGAGGCTATAGGGGTTGCAGAAACCCCACCTGGGGGCTGCTTCCAGTGTGTATAATGAATAAAAGATCTATAAGTGGGTTAGATTGGACCTTCTGTATTTAAGAAGCACAAAATCCTGGTTGCTCAGGGAAATGGGCCTAGTTTTGCCACTTTCTTGAGTGTGTGCAGTCAGTGGTGCTTGCAGTTGTAGCACAAGTGAAAGAGGAAAAAGAAACGCTGCTTGGGGCTGCCCCAGCAGGACAGAAATGATGACATTGTTCCTGCTTGCGCGTGCCTTCCCACCGCAGCTACACCAGAGTGGAAGCCATGGGTTTTCCCTCGGTGGCAGCTTTGGTCCTATTTTGTGGCTGGCCGTGGGTCTGGATGTGGACATCTCTGAGCAGTAGCAGGGCGCAGTGGTCCAGGAGCGGTCACCACCATATGGAAATCATCACACCCACCGCAAAGCAGTGCCCTATGCCAGGAGTTCCCCATTGCCATCTTTAGGGACAGCTGGGGAAGGGCAGAGTGGGTGCTGGGGTGGCTGAGCAGGAGGAGAAAAAGCAAACACGGAGAACGTCTGTGTGCTTCCAAAATCTGCCTTGAGCTGAATTACAAGATGCTTGTATAAAAATGCGGTTAATTATTACAAAGTAACGAAGTGAGGAAACACAGACATTCACAGCGTATCTCCTGCATTAATTTGTTGCTAAAAATGTAGATCACAACAGCTGTGAAGCTGCAAACAGGTCAGTAGCAAAACCGTCTCTCCTGGTTGTTGTGCTGAGAAGCACTCTTCTCTGTGAGGCTGTTCCCAAAGGCTGTCAGGGTCGGAGGCAGCTCACAGGCCAACTCGAGAAGCATGTTTAAATGAGGATGCCATCACCAAGAGCACTTACTGTTCATGTGTTCTCAGGTCTGAGAAATATCTGAAAATGTGGAGAGGAGTTAAACCTAGAAATCCACTTGAATTTAAAAAACCCTCAGCCAAACAGCTGTCTGCTGTATGTGCACTGCAGAGCATCCACATAGGGAACCAAGTGTAAAAATAATCCCTGCCTTCAGTATCTGTATGAGTTTTGGCCAAGCATGCTAAAAGCAAGCTCAAGGATGAGAGAAACAAGAAGCTCCACCATTACAGAAATTGAAGTTGTTTGCAGACATCACATCAGATGGTGGTGTGCCTGGGTCTGCCAAGAAGTCTGGATGGGGGAGGGGGGGGAATCTAGCAGAATTTATGTTTCTGGCAATGAACAGACCTGAAACCTTAGGTTGGACTTCTAAGTGTATTGGCCACCCTCAGGCAAAATCTTGGTTGCCAAAACTGGGTGCATCTAACCTTTTTCTTTAGGGTTTGCAAATTAAGGTTTCATATTACTATAGAAAAATGGTTGGTTTGAGTAAGATCACAAGCAGGATGCCAGAAGGAGTTATTTCTTATGGTCACGAGTAACTCAAGCAAAACAACAACCAGTGCCAAACAGAACTGGTGTCTTTCCCCACTGGTGGCAAGAAGACCTGTAACCCCACTGGCAGCAAAAGGTGTAACTGCCTGAACACCCTGTTATCCCAGGACAACTCCACATACAACTTTCCTCAAACGCTTTTCCAACCACTTCCAATCAATACAAGCCTCTGCAGGAACACAAAACAGGTATCCCTGTTCCCATGGGCTGTGATTGACCCCTGCAGCTGGTCTAGGCTTTTCCTCAGGTAGCATTATCTTACCAACTTTTACTCCACTACTTCTTGTTTTACACAGGAGAAAGGACAATCTACCTATTACAGCTTCATCCTCCTCTTCTGTTCATGCTTGCCTTTTTTTGTCTCCCAACTTTGTTAGTGTACTTCACTTCTAAAGGACTTTGAGAAGAAAATTGTGCTAAACAAAACTGATGTGCAGAAGAGGACATTAAAAATATCTTAGGATTGGGTATGACGTGAAGACAGTTCACTTCTTTAATGTCTCACTACTGGTCACTAGTAAAATAGAAGAAAAATAGAAGAAAAAACTCAGCAGCATTTACCTGCCTGCTATGCAAGATCAGCTTGAGAAAGCTCCAGGTGATAAAAAGCAACAACCCCAACTTCCAGATGTGTTTTGTAACGTTGCCTTAAAAGGATTTCTTTAGGCTGCTTTCCAAATTGATTTGGTTGGATTTGTTTGGTTTTAAACCTACATAGCCAGTTCATAACAGTGCCCACAGGAAAAAGGAGTTGGTTTTTTTGTGTGGTGTTGATAGTCTGCTCTTTGATTCCTTCTGCATGTCTAGTATTAGTCAAACTGGCCACACTGCCCCATTTTTCTGGGCATTTGGCCCCAAGAGAAGATTCATGCCAAAGTACCAGATTAAGATGGCATCATTAGATCCTCCTATATACTTTGACATGATTTATTGCCAGGGAAGAATTGTTGTGTCTGCTGCCTCATCCTCTGGCCCTTCTTGTTCACGTTGGTGCCTACTTTTAGTCCTCTTTTCAAGCAGAGTGCAAGCTTCTGTATGATGCTCTGAGTCTTTATACAAGGGAAGTTTTCTCATGATGAAATCATATGCAGGGATGAGCATGGCTAAGGCTTGTCATGGTAGAATTTGTTACCCGGTGAGGGAGGCGTAACTGACTTAAGCCTTGAAAGTCTTTCACCCAGAAGTCTGCTTATTGAAATATCTCACAGGTGCGTGTATGTGCACAGGAGAACGTGGGTGTTACCTGCACACACCAGAGCCAGGGTCCAAACTGGTGACGCTGCTAACTGTGGGGAGTCTGGTCTGGTTCCACAGGTTGGGGATGGGACCTTACCCATCTTCCTACTGTGTTCAGAAGAAGTTTAAATTCACTATGTGACTGCTGTTCCAGGGTAGCTCTGGCCTTCTCTGACTTCAGTGGTGAAGATGCACAGTACAAGCATTCACGCAGTAACACGGCATCCTTGTTACACCTTAAACTCCTTACATGTGAGCCTCCTGCTCTGTGCTTCCCAAATACCTGCTAAGTTTTTTCCTGAGGCTTGCTTCTAAAAAAACCACCCTCTCCCCCCCTATTCATTGTTTTGTGTGATCTTCACAAAATGTGGCATTTCTGTCTAAATAGTTTGCCAAAAGCCTGTGACAAACAATATTAAGTTGTCAGTCGTGAGACATTAAAGAAGTGAACTGTCTTCACTTCATACCCAATCCTAGGATATTTTAAAATGTCAGAGCTTTTGACGCAGTGGTTGTCACTGGCTCCAGTTTTGGGATACCCAAAACTGGAATACATGGGCCTGATTTTCAGAAAGTGCTATGTTCCCTTTCTGCAAATGTTAGTCCTTAAACACATTTCAAAAATATGTACAATTTCATCAGGATCAGTCAGTGCTCTGGAATTTCTGACTGCAATGCCTTTCTGCCATCTTTCCTGTTTTCACACAGTCATACTTTCTAAATTTGTTTTCAGATGACATTCTGCCTGGCAGAAACATATAAAGAAAATTGAGAGAAATATCCTTAACGATTTGTGAGTGACATATTTGGGTTTGTAAGTGTTTAATTCTGATTTGCTCTTGTGGGATAACTTTTAAAAGGATGAAATTTTACATTTGGAAATGAAAATAGTAAGGTAGACATAATAATTTCCTGCATATAACTGATCTATTTCTCAGTGCTGTTTATCAGGAAAATTGCTGTTGCATTTAATAGAACTCTTATCAGTTTAGTCCCAGTTGAAACCCACCTCATCAAATCAATGGAACAATCCTCTTTCCACCAAATGCAAGACCACTGTAGCTTATGTTGCCAACAATTATTTTTATTTTCAGAATAATTATTTCTTTCTGAAAATGGCATGTAAGTGTCAGTGTGCTTGATTAAATGTCCAAGAACAGAGATTAAATGATCAAAGTCAAGAGGAGATGTGACTTAAATGGTGACATGCGTAGTTGAGTTTTGTTGGTGAATGCCAGTGAAAGCTCAGCTTGGTGTGGATCCTGCAGAAGCAGAAGACCGACAGCATTGTAAAAAGAAAAGCCACCTTTGAAAAAGGCTTGTTTAATCTTGCATCTCCTTGCACCTTCTGTCAGGTAGCTTTTCGATGCCAACTCAGCATCAGAGCAGCAATAGCTAGCACGTACGCTCACAAACTCAGCCCTGTGGTTGAATTACTGTGCAAGCACAGAATAATCCAGGGAGGTTAGATCTGAACCCTGTAGAAGCTGGAAATGCATCCCAGTGCGATGGACTGTCCTTCCACAGGACATCTTTTGCAATGCTGCAGGTCTTCACCTTCACCAGGGGATAAGTATGTAGTCTACAGCTACCACAACGCCGAGTTACTGGACAAATCTGCTCACACATTTAGCCATTGGATTCTCCCAGTGGGACTAAAAATCTACAGGAGGTGATGATTTGTCTAATAGGAAAAAATAAATTAAAAAAAACAAAGCAAAGAGGACAATAATGCTTGAGGTTTTCCTCTCATAGTAAGATGGAGAAGCAATTAATCTGAGTGTCACTGTTTTTTGAAAAAGTCAGCTACATTTGCTTTCCTAATAGCATTCTCTTCTTTTTTCTGTAGGTCCAGCTGCCCAGCGCCAGGTCCAGAATGGGCCATCTCCAGATGAGATGGAGGCACAGAGAAGGTAAGTGGAGTTAATCAGTTATGATAAAGTTCTAGGTTGTGACTTGGATGAACGTGCAGTCCTTGCTCACCAGTAAGCACTGTTCTTTTTACTTGTACCTGTTTTAAGCTGATTCTGAGTTTTCTGTAATTATTGCTAACGATTCTGTAATGACTTTTTAAAGAGTGTACTGAAGCCCTAGGTAAACTCTTTGCTCAAAGGCAAGCATGAGGCATGCTGATGTGCAGAGTTAAAGACAAAACATGTTTAAAAGCATTTTGTAGAGTGTGTGTCTCCAAGCACATTAAGAAAGCCTAACCTTATCCTGTTCTGGATCACCTGCTGGCAGTTGACGGTCATATTTCCCCGGGAGCATCTGACGGACCATATACACTCTCATCAATAGCTTAGGCCCATTTTGTGTATGGCTACTTCCTATATCATATGCTGTTCCTTTTATGAATGTTTTGCTCTAAACCACCATAATAAATGAAAGTGTAAAGTTGAACCCTTCCCCTTTACGTGTATGTCTAGCCTTAGTGCCGTTGTTACACATAGCCTTTTCTCTAGCTGCTAGGAGTGGTCTCCTTGACATCAAAGGGAAGGTAGGCAGAAGTGTCCGTCCTTACATGCCTGTCTCCATAACCAAATTATGAGGCCCATCTCATTTCAGCTTTGCTGATTCAGCCAAGATTCCTGCAGCAGCAGTAGAAATCCCTGTAGCAGCAGTATTCAGCTTCCTTCGCTAAGCATAAGACATACCTGTCCCATTCTGGACAAAGTTTTCTCATCTGACCAGTAGTCCACGCTGTCAGAGCTGTGATCTGTCTGCCAGGCGTTGGCGGTGTTCGTGCCAGCAGCACTGATTAGCCAGGCTGGTGCTTCCTTGTTGAAGTGTAGACTTGTGCACACAAAAAAAGTACCTTTGTTCCCCATATTCCTGCTCACTGCAAGTGTGTTTCTCCTACTGTGTGAGAAACACCACAGAATATTCTGCCGCAACACATGTAAGCTGGTGAGCCTCACTTCATCAGGAGTGCGTTGGAGTACAGAAATCGGCAGGACCTGTCGCTGCTCCAAGTTTGGTGCCTGGCATTGCTTAAATGAGGTGTCTGCATTTGCTTCTGTATCAAGAGGAGGATCAGCAAGTGCAGTTAGCCCTCCAGAGGACTTGGCCCAATGTTTGGTTCAGATAATAAGTAGCTTTGTAAGGATTTTAGTGGAACCAGACCTGCAGGGGCAGTTCAGCACCAAAGATGTCAGCTGTTGGTCTGACGTGACAGAGGCTCAGTGGGCTCTGCCTTCGTCATACGTGCAACCTGTAAGCAGGCAAGGTCCCCCCTTGCAGGGTCCAGGGACTGCCCTGGTCCTATGAGTAATGTGATTTAATATCACACCCTCCTGGAGCAGCAGAGATGAAGTCTTGCAATATATCGTTTGCATTCATGCTCCGGGGCTACCGTTCTGACTGGTCCCTGCACAAAACCATGTATAGGTCAGTCAAGACAAGGCCCTTATACAGGCTGTGGTAGGTACTTAGGATTCTCTCTTTCCCCCTCCAAAAACTGTAAGAAAAGTGTAGGGAAACTGGTTTCTTGCGCCTTTATGAATAACTCTGAATGGCCTGAGATTTAGTAGGGATTTACATAGGACTATTAAATGGGTCAGCGGGTAATGATATTTCGCTTGAGATTTGTAAGATTTATTTTGGGATAGCAGAGCTATCATAAAGGTCAGAGGAGAGCTCCTGCTCACCTAGAGGCAGGGGGGATGCTGCCTGTCCCCGACGCCTGGCTGAAAGACCGATCCAGCTCTTCATTTAACCAGTGAAAATCGCTGATTCTTCAGACCATATGTAACAGACCTCAAATTTAGCTGTCTAGTCTGTACATTTAAAGTGTGAGCAGCTTAACTACATCAGAAAAAAAAATATTTATTGTTTTTCATTTAGAGACAGTAAAAGCCTTTTGGGTAGGTATTATTCAACTGCTACAGGGCACATGGTTCTGGGAAAGCTTCTTTTGCTCCACTGGACTGGAATAAGCTATGCCAGTAGATGCACTTAGATATTACTGCATCTGCAGTAGAGGATTTTCAGCTTTAATTATGCTGATGCATTCTTTAAGCATATAGCAGACCTAATTTTAGGCCTAGCTTTTTTTGAACATCTTATAAGCAGGCAAGGAAATGAAGTTATGGTAACTACCCTGCAAATTTGTCTGTTTAAAAGGTTATTTAGAGACCTTTACACAAATGTTAAAAGAATATATTTTTAAGTCAGAGAGTAATTTGTCCCCTCTTGTACTTTACTCCTTGCATACTCCTTAAGCAGCCTTGTGCCAATCTCAGGCTTTATTTAGTTCCACTGGAATAAATTTGACTTCCTAAGAGTGTAAGAACTTCTCCTTTTAGCATGTGTGGGAGAGTGTATTTGGCACATATAAACTGCTTCCGCCCAAGGGCAGACAGGGCTGGCATGAACCCCAACAGCTTCAAATGGCAGTGGCTGACCCTTGTTTTGGGGAGCATCCTGCACCTGTATCTGCTCTGCAGCGGCTCTAGCGACTTGGAGACGTCTTTCTTACCCATATTTCTTTCCTGGCCTGTCAGGCTGGAGTTTTCCAAGTCTGTCCTCCAGATAAACCTAGAATTTCCCCCAGGTTTAATGAGGAAAAGGTATGTGTCAAGTTGTTCTTCATCATCAAATTTTGCTAATAAATGCCAAGCTAAGGTAGCAGATGGTATGCTTAGGAAATTCTTAGTATATGTGTTTACAATTGAAATTTTAGCAGTGCAATTGATGCTGTTGCATATGTGTTCAGCCCATAACTATCAATTAAGAGCCAGGGTATGTATTGAAGTAAAGATTTCTATTTATTTGGTTTAAAGTGTCATAGCTTAAATGAAACCAGTTGAATCAGCCAACTAAGGCTGTTCCTCAAAACTGTTTCCCCTTTGCACATACAATAATTTTCTCAGCTGCCTATAATGGTTTTCCAGAAATTGCCAGTGTTCAATGGATTGCATGTCCTGAATATAAAACCAGTTTAGGATTGATCCCTCCACAGCGAATAATTATAATAGTGGATTTTCCTGTCCCATCTATTGAATTAGAATTGAAATATGGGAAATTTGTTTTGCAAATTAAGACATTCTTAAATGTCTACAAAATGTAACAGGGAGATCTCTCTAAAATATTACATAAGGAGTCAAAAGAGAAGTGTTGCCTAGAGTTAAGCTTGCCTTACTGTACAGAACATGAAGTAAAATTGTTACAGAAAAAAGAAATCTCCATGCAATTAAGACTGGCCCAAACATATGTGGAACAAATTCAAGGCAAACTTGGCCTAGAAATCATGGAAGAAAATTATAATAAACCTTATTACCAAGTGCTCCAGTAAGGTAATTTCAGAGTTGTGTTTTAGTATTGGTGAAATATTTAGTCCATATCCATGTGCATGGTAGAAAGCCTGGCAAACAGTCTAGGTTTTAGCTCTCAATCTTTTTAACAAGAGAAATGCCAGGGAGGGTTTGTGGCAGGGGTCAGAGTGACAGCTCTTTCTGCAGCAGTGTTACAGCGTGCGAGAGAAGACCTCTGCTGATAGACCCTGGGAACTGCACATCTCTGGAAAGCAGACCTTGGGAAAAGGCTTGGCAGTGCATTTCCCTATGGGACACCAGGCCTGGGTAGCACGGGAGCTAGCAGCTCCTGGGGGGAAGGGTGCCAAAAAGCAGCAGTGCAGTGTTGCGCTCTGCATTTGCGGAGGAAATGCGGTGGTCGTGGTCCCCGTGGCCACGCTGGCCGGCACAGGGGCCGCTGTGCTGGGGCATCAGGTGGCAAGCTGTCAGCCAGGTTGTGCAGCTGGACAAAACAGAGTTTGTACAGTCAGCACCTAAACGCAGATCAAGCTTCCTTATATTTTCATTTTAGCTACAAGCCCTTTGGGCTCCTGATCCGTAAAAGACTCAGTAAAATATCTGTCCTTTTATGCAAGACACCCCTTACTCTTCCCTTGCAATGCTCGTGCACTTCAGGTTAACGACATGCGTGGTTGCTGTGCTCTCCTGGACCTGGGGCACTGACTACTGCTCCTGCAGAGCCCGTTGAGGAGTTATCTTAAATGGATCGACCAGCCCCTGCAGTGTCCGGCAGGTGCAGGGCAATGTCCTGGTTACGCTTCCCCAGCGTGTGCAATGACACCGCTGCGGCCAGGGGAAGTAAAATCAAACCCACCTCCATCTCACGGGAACAGCATTTCTGCGAGGGACTGGCTCACACCACCCAAGACATACAGCTTGAGTGCTTCTCAGTGTATAAAGCTTTTACTCAAAATTGTAAAGAATACATAATGACCGAGGATTTTTTCATTGCTGTTTTAGACAAGTGATGGAGCAACAGCAACAGCGCCAGGAATCTCTGGAAAGAAGAACCTCTACTACAGGCACGTATCAAACCAAGCAGATATAGTCTCTCCCTGCTTGTCTCCTCTAGCTGTAGTTGGGTTTTGTGTGGTGCTATACAAGAGCTAGACTGCTAAAAGTGGTTGTAGTTATGATTAGATTTTAAAGCATTTTCAGCTAGGGACTTACATGCATTTGGGCATGGTTGTGTTGTTTCGCAGAGGCTCAGGTCTGGAGTGTGCAGGTGGAGCTATGCAAAACTTGTACAGCTGAGGGGGATTTTAGGCATCCGAAGGGGGCCTGGCCATGCTTCTTGCACACCCACGAGGACAGCAGGTAGCACAGCCACTGCAAGAGTGACTCCGTGTTTCGAGGGGATGTCAGCACGAAGGGGTGGACATGCTGGATGTGCCAGGTCAGGTGCTCCCCATCACTCTGCAGCACAAAGCAAACTACAGCGCAGAGGAAAATAGAGCTCTAGATGCCCATCGGTGGGGATTTTGTGGTCATGAAGTGAGGAGTCTTCTGTGAGCTTAATGGAAAAAAAATATATATTTAATGAGCTTACAAAAATCTTCTGTAGCATATTAAGTTGCACTAAGCTGAGAGAAGAGATGACAGGAATAGCTTACAACTACGAAGTATGGCTTTGCCTCTCTGAAAGAAGGCAGAGCAAGCAAGCCAAGATGGCCATCTTGTGTTTGGGCTTTTGTTTTGGGGAAGTTTTTTCAGTTAATCTGGCCACATGAGTGAAATGTTTTTCCTCAACTGTTACAACTTTTTAGACTTGAAACAGCTCGGACATACACACATGCCTTAGTCAGAGACAGAAGTTGTTGGACTCTGTTTCGGCAGAGGCTACTACGTGCTATTCTGCATAGGAAACAGCCAAAATCCTGCCTTGGCATCCACAAGGAGCAGGACATGGCTCTCGGGGGCTTCTGGCTGTCCCCTCCCTGGCTATGAGGTTGCCACCACTGTGTTCAGCATGTCCCTTAAAGCTGCCCCTGGTTGCAAGGGTGATGCTTGTGATCCTGACTCAGATTCACACAGGGCTTGGAGGAGCCTCGCTGGCACCGGAGCGCACAGCCCTATCCGTGCTGCCAAGGTCCTGCTCCTCACGGCCCTGGGGGGAGCACACAGCCCATCCTGTGCTGCCAGGGTCCTGCTCCACACAGCCCTCTGGTTCTGCCAAGGGTTGGAACCCCCAAGCCAGTGCCTGACCATCTCCTCTTTGCTTTGTTTGAGTTTCTGTTTGAGTTTACTTTGCGGTTCCTTTTTCTCCATTCTGCTTCGCCTTGGTTTCGTTCCTTGCCGCGAACCCATCTTACTCTTTTCATTTGTCTTTTCTGTTCTTTTAGTTTCCACCCTTCAGATAAGCGTGTGCTCTCCCCCGTCTCAGCCCCAGTCTCCTCCTCCCACCTGCAGTAACTGCGGTGTTCCTGCCTCTGGTGCTGTGCCCTCGCCACCACCTCATGCCAGCGCTGTCTCTTTGGCACCCGCTGTCCCCGAGCCTGCCAGTCAATCCTCTTTCAGATCCCCACGGAGAGCCAGAGAGCCCCCGCAGCTCCTGCACAGGCACTCAGCCTCCGAGCTGCCAACAGCCCCAGGTTCCTCCCCTCCAGCCTGCCCAAACCGCAGGACCATAACGCCAGACATCAGGCGAACCTCACTGTCTCCACCACCTCCCCATCCTTCCCACTTTCCCTTCACCTCTCGCCAGCCTCTCAGGCACTCTTCTCTTTCCTGCTCTCCTCGGTCTTCTGCTTCCCCCATCACAAATGCACCACCTCCACAGAGGGGTGATGTCCTGCAGCCGCACAGTCCCACCATCCTGCCTGTGATTCCTGTCCCACCTGACAGGGTCAGGGGACCCACAGATAAAGCAGGCCAGGAGACCTCAGCAAATGTATCTCTGAATGGCCATCCTGAAGAACAAATTGCTTTAGGCCCCTCTGGGACCCAGGTGAAAAGTGTGGACGGGTCCTTCTTTCCACACCTAGGTGCTGCACCCTCCTCCCCGCTGCCCACCATTGCCAGCCCCCCCGGCTCCTTTGGCCAGGCTCCCTCCCCATCCTCCCATCCATCATCTCGTCCTCCACAGCAGTGGCATCAGCCCATGTCACACTGTCTTCCATTGCCTCCCCCTTATGCTGCTGTGTCTGAGGTGACTATGCCCAGGAGGACCCCTCCTTACATGACTTCATCAGCCATTGCCCACTTGAGTAAGTACTGATTTTGAATGAGTTGCGACCTATATAAAGCCTTAGCTTTCAGCTATTTAAAAAGCCCCGTTGGCACTGCCCGTGACTGCTAGAAAAAGGGCTGAGAGACCCAAGGCTACTCCTGCTGTATGTAATTTCTGAAACCAAGGTGGAAAAGTACCGAAATCACTCAGGACTGGTCCAGGGACCTTCTGAGCTAAAAGCAAGGCAAAAAGCAAGAATTTTACAGGGCCAGGGCCCTGTAGCTGGGTCGTTGCAATGCATATTATTACTGTATGAGCCCAGAAGGAGATTCTTATCATTGAGCAGAATCAAACTGCATTTGGCAATGAGCTTTGTACAAAACCTATATTCAGCTGGTCCCAACATAGTGGATGGGCTCTTCTGAAGCTGGAGGCCAGGTCTGTGGTAGACTTGTTGTGTGTGTAGCAATATTGGTAGAGGTTGTGATTTTTATTTTTTTTCTTAAGTGGTATTTCTGCTACCAGCAAAACATATAATATGGATTTTGTTATAGTTACCCAGAATCCCCTGTGCTTGTATAATTTATTTCATTCTAGAAACTCTCTTCCTGGTATAAACTGCATTTATAGTTGAGCGCTTGTCACTATAACTATTCCAGCAAACCTTTTTCACTGCAGGCGGATCAAGAGCTTGGGTCTGCCACTTTGCATATGGTCTTGATTTCTAGCGCTCGTCTAAAGCCTGCGGAGTTAGAGCAGTTACGAGTAATGCCTATTTGCAATTCAGATCATACGTTTTGTGACTTGGATCCATTCCTGTTTATAACCACATATAATGCTTAAGTGATGTGCCTAGAAAAGGAAGAAAACTGAGACATTTCCTTTCACTTTCTGCTAAAAATATTACAGCAACCACTGGAGGCTCAGTCCTTCAGCTGATATAAGTCCTTGAAATCCACTTAGTTCAATAAAGTTATTTTAATCTCACATCAGTCCATTATTTTGACTCAGTTCAATTTTTGCCTCAGGCTGGCCTCTAGTTAGGTGGGTGTAGTTTTGCAATTACAATTAACTGTATCCACAATGAATTACTAGCTATTATGTTCATGAACCAAAGAGGGCTTGAAACATTTAAAGTATTTCTAATAGCAGCTATGGTTCATTTCAAGAATGGAATCGGGAGCGTGAAATAATGGTAGAAGTCACCAGAGAAATAAAGCAGTATTGTAAGAAAACCTAGATAAGAAGAAAACCAGGCTGCTAATGTCAAACACAGTTTCCAAATGTTCCTCAGTCAAAACCTGCATGTCTTTCAAAATAACACTTACTGACCAAGTGACTATATATCGGGAGCAGCCTGTTCTGAGAGAGCGTAATGTGGGGAAATACCCTCGGGGAGGTGGATTCATTCAACTGACCCATTACAGACAGGCAAAACACTGCAACGGAGTTACCCACCATCAGCCCCTCCAACAGGCTGCTGCTTTGAGGAGCTCTGCTGAACCTTGGGGTGCTTGGAGCTGGACTCTGCCCCCATTATTTTGCAAGACCAGCCGAGATCACACACCCTCTGTTCAACAGAAAGGAGGATGTGTCGCTGTAGCCCATGAGGTGAAAAGCTGGCGTTAACAGGAGTCCACGGAGTTGGCTGATGTAGTTTATTATCTCCATGTAGAAAGCTATGAGAGGAGGAGGAGAAGAAGGTGCCACTTTTGAATTGGGAAGTGTTGTCTGTGTTTTGATTTCAGCACAGAATAAAACACTAGCCCAGCAGGGAGAAGAGGAGGGAGAAGGCTAGTTATCAGTGACAGGGTCTCACAGGAGGACACAACTGTAGCTGCTTGACCATTGATGCAACCACCATTTCCCGTTCTTCTGCTTGGTGCTTCCTTGCATTGCTCACTTGTCGTGCAGTCAGGTCATGGCCTTGGGAGCGGGAACGTGACCTTGTGTACGGGCTGGAGGAGACCGTGCTTCACGTCTAATTTGTATTCTCTGCATTTCAGGCCCAGCACTTCCACCTGGTCATCCCAGTGGCGCTGCTGTGATCCCTGCTTCGTCCGTTTCCCGTTCTTCTGCTTGGTGCTTCCTTGCATTGCTCACTTGTCGTGCAGTCAGGTCATGGCCTTGGGAGCGGGAACGTGACCTTGTGTACGGGCTGGAGGAGACCGTGCTTCACGTCTAATTTGTATTCTCTGCATTTCAGGCCCAGCACTTCCACCTGGTCATCCCAGTGGCGCTGCTGTGATCCCTGCTTCGTCCGGTCTGGCCGCCGGCCAAGGGGCTGGCACTGAAGATGGGTCAGTGTCAGGGCTCGCAGCAGCTCTGGCTGGTGCCAAACTAAGGAGAGTTCAACGGGTAAGGAGGTGGCACTGGGACTCTCCGATGGGCTTTTCTCCACTGCGGGAAAGCCTGGCACAGCTTGGTGTAATGGTCTGCGAATCCAGCATGAAACATGGTGAAACATGCTTCAGCTGACCACTAGGTGAACTTTTAAATGTGAGTTTGTAGTGCAAATAAAGCTGAGCAGGAAATGTTTGGTAGAATTTCTGCTTTTCAGAAAATATTAATTAGCAAATGGCTGCGAGTTCTCATATCGCCAGGATTTCATTACTTCTGTGAAGTCCACCATTGTACTATCTGTTAGTGTTTTCAGTCATTGTAAGTGGTTAAAACTGCACCATGCTTACAAAAAGCAGTGTAGACTGTTGAGGCCTCATGTCAATAGGTGTCCACTTAGGTAAGGGTTGCATAACCATGCATAAACATAATCATGAACTAACAGCACTGTAGGTTTTTTCATCACTTGCCCATATAGTTGCCCCACCCAGACTGTCCTGGTTTTAGTAAGGTCCATGTGGGTCTTCTTCCCAAAGCAGAACACATCCTATCTCTGGTTTTGGGCTGTGATTGTGATTGCTGCTCCTAATAATTAGGAAAACTAATCATTAAGGGTGTGGTTGTAAATGAAACTTTTCATTAATTGCAATGTTGATTTCTGTCTTAAGCCAGAAGATGGTTCAGGAGGGTCCAGCCCCAGTGGGGTCTCTAAGAGCGATGCCAATCGAACGAGTAGCGGAGGAGGCGGAGGAGGACTAATGGAAGAAATGAATAAATTACTGGCAAAAAGGTTTGTACTTAGACTTCAAGTAAGCACTAACAGGAGCTCTGCAGCAAATTGTGGAACAAGGTGCTGTCGTTTTTGGTTAGCAATGGGTCACTTTGGTGCTTCTTTGCAATTTGACAGGTCCTGCACAGATGTTAGTCGCCAGCATCATCTGGCCTTTAATATGAAATGTAGATGTTGCAGCAATGATACCTGGCAGAGTTTAGCTGCTCTAGCACATCCTGCAGTGTGGTAACCTTTGAAGATGGCGATAAATATATCCACTGTGGTTTTGCCATTTTACCAGACCTATTTCAAAGTTACTGTTTTTGGAAAGAGTAAACTATGAAAGGAGCTTAGACAAATCATTCTTTATGCAGCACATTCAGGATGTTGGGCCCAAAAATATAAACAGAAGTGCAATAAAAGGACAACATCTTGGCAGGTAAATTATTATCGATTCTCAGTGTGTTTCAGACAGGCTAGCCAAGTTATTCTCCAATAAAGTGAGTTGTGATGTACCAAGCTGTTAAAAGGCACTCAATTGTTCCAATTATTTTTTCCTTCTCTTTTCCCCCGATTCCATCAGTAATGTTCTGTCAGACTCCCAGGTTCCTAGTGTTAGATGTTTTATTTTTAGCTCTAATTTTTTTTTTAACTTATGAATAGTGAAAGAAAAGGATGAGTAAAATAATGAGGAGTAGGTACAGTTGTATAGTGCGCAGACATGGAGTTTTTAAATAATGTTGTCTAGTATAAAAACAGTTCCCAGTTCAGAGGATCTGATTCCAACTTTCCTCCATGCCCTAGTCATTTCAGAAGGAATTCTGAACATGGACTGTGGATGTAATCCTTTGGAAAGCATTAAATAAATACACAACACTATAAAAAGTTACCAGCAGTGTAAAATACCAAATAGATAATTTTCTCTCTTTTCAGAATTAAAATAGCTTAACAGCTTTTAATAGTTATTTATTGGTTCACCTTCTGATCTATTTTGTACTGCTACATATCAAGACTGACCTTGCTGAACTGGAAGATGTCTGTAAGCAAAGTAAAGTTCGGTGACTAGATGCTGGGGTAACTAGCTCTGTTCGAGCAAGCAAGCTAAATGGACATCTCATACGCTTGGATATAGAAATCCTACAAATTTCTGTGGTTCTAGTCTAAAATGGCTTTCAGCAGTGGGATTCGTTGTCTTCAAGTATTCAGGGTCGAATCCCCTCCCTATCTTAACAAAAGCACCTGTACTGCCATGAGCACCATGCTGCCTCTACTCTGAAAATAACTGAGTGCAAATCCTTTCCCAGGGAGTTGACAGCAACAGAATTGTCTCCTAAATTTTGCTTCACAAAGCCATGGAAGTCATTGGAAATACACAAGTGTCAGTCAAGGGTGCAATCGGTGCATGCTGCTAAACTGATACTGAGAGGACTTCTTTTGGCTGCAAAACCCTTTTTATGTGGGATGGCACAGAGAAAGGAAGAACTTGGCACTGTGTTTCAGGTTGCTCTTACTGAGCTGGCAGCCAGGAGGAAAAAAAGATGTTTTTTAAACTGAGCGTGTTCAATACAGAAATCACTGAGTGATGAGCAGGGGATCTCAGGGGCCCTTTTCTGAGCAGAAAACCACATGCTCAGAAACAGGGAATGTGTATAATGCTGGGTAAGTAACGGAGGAAAACACTTCTGAGAGTTCAGGTGGTATAAAATACGGCTCTCTAGATTTAGTGGCCCCCGTGAGAGCAGCCCTTTGCTTCAGAACTGAAGTGCAAGCAGAATAATGAACTATCTCACAAACCGCTATCATTTCTAGCCCAGTTAAGTTTGTTGCAGGACATAAATCTAACACTGGTCTCTTACCCTGGCAAATATTTCTCTTGCTCAGGTTTGTAATCATTATAACCCTTTTTCCTCAGAAGTATCAAGCAAATATTAGAGAAAGACTATAAGAAATTATTACTGATCTAGTAAAATTATTAATGCAGTTGAATATCTGAAAATAATTCCCACAGAGCACTGTGTCCTACAAACACACGCATGTGTTTTACTCCTCTGGGTTTTTTGTCAAATTTACATCAAACCCTCCAATTTGTGAATCCAGTGAGGCTTTTGTTTTGCCAGTGAGATGAAAAAAAAAATCCTTTGACAAACTTGTGGTGGTGTTTTGAAACTCAGAAGCCTTTTTAAGTGCCACTTGGGATTTATTTTTTTTTCTGTGAGATGAATTTTGTCTATTTCAGAAGCAAGACTAAATGAAAAACCTGTCATATTGGTGTTTTAAAAAACATCTGCTAAAGGTAGTATTCACAGGTGGATAAGGATAAGGATCATCACAACCAAAATCCATGCGGAGACTAGACCTGCAGTTCCCCTAATCGTCTAAAATGGGAAAAGGGATGTCTAGACAATCAGTACCTGGCACTGCCTGAGTACTGTTTAGACCCTAAATAGGGCTTGAAAATCAAGCATTTGGTTTTCTTTACTTCAGCCAGTGTGGCTAACACCCAAGAAGTTTTACCATGCATTCTTCAAAAATAAACAACCAACATCTTTGTTTACTCTCATGTCCAGTTGCTCCAGTGGGTGGATTGCAGCTCTTTGCCACTTGCTTCTCGGAGAGTTTTGCCTCTCCTTGGGAAGCAGGACAGAGTGAGGGTCTCAGGTCCTCACTCAACTTCTGTAGGCACCACCAACACTGCCAGTCCTGGGGCGACAGGGCTCGGGAGCTCTGCTGCCTTTGAATTGGATTTGAGACAGCAAGAACCTCCCATCACTCACCAAAGGCACTTGAAAACTCAGGCTGCTGCACTCGTTTCCTGGCTCCTGGTCTCCAGCCAGAGCTTTCCCACCCTGGAGGGAGCAGGGGTCTTGGCTGAGCAGAAATGGTGCCCCCGATCTTTCCCAGTGAGGATGGACCTGGGTTGAAGGGCTTTTCTGACTGTTTTCCCATCACATGGGAGCACTGCCACAGCCCTTTCTCAGGGTGGGAACAGGAATGGGAGGATACAGGATAGGTAGCAAAATGATATTGGAGCTGGCTGAGAACATAGTGTCATCGCTGCAATACCCATCTGATTCACCTGCGGAGGGTTGGGTTGGTCCTCAGAAACCCCTGTGGGGGTTTGGGTTTTTCCTCCTGTGTAGGACACAGGAGCCACCACCTCCTGAGCCCTAGAGAGAAGCCATCCCTTTCTCACCCAGTTTCATACCCAGCTGTGCTTCCTTCCTTCTTTCCTCTGCGACACATTTCCCTATGCTCTGCACCCTGTGTTCCTCTGTTAAACACCGCCTCATAATATTGCCCCTCTCCCTGAGTCATAATCACTGAGGTCTGGATTCCTCACCTCCACCCCGATCCTACGCAACCAAACACATCCAGCCTTTGTCACGTTCCCTAGGATGAACTAAGTAAATAATAACTCCCACCAGAGCTTGAATCAGCCTTCCCACGTGGAGGATGTGTTTCTAGACGGTTGACTGTGTGTCCTATCTCATGTTCCTTTGCAAAGGAGGAAAGCAGCGTCGCAGTCAGACAAGCCAGCTGATAAGAAGGAAGAGGAAAGCCAAAACGTAAGTGAAAGACTCCTCACTGTTGTGCTTTTGCAAATATGTTGACGTGCTGCCTTGTAATCCAAAGTCCTGTGCTCATTCACTCTGTGTGGCAGGCAATGACAAGCAGTGCTGATCCAGGAATAGATTTGCACATTCAGTCAAAAGCTAATGTAACTGCTTCCACCTTTTCTGGGAACAGCACCCTATAAACAAGAGTTCTCGCCTTATTCATAGGTGAGGCATTGTCCAAACCAGGTTAATAGGCGCTTTCTCATGCTCTGATCCGAGTGTTGTGGGGTATGGTAGATTCTTGCCCCTTAAGAAGATGCATTGAATCTTCTGGCAAGTCAACTTGAGATCAAGTCCGTGTTTCTTATTTTAAATTTGCGGCTTCAGCTAAGCTGAAGTGGATCATCAACCATGTGGTGTAACTTTGGATTGCCATCCTCCATGCAAAGCAAGAATCGGCTCACTTTGGACCCCAGAGTGCACATAAAACATGTCTTGGGGGGGGAAGGGAAAACAGTGTATTAACCACTAGTCCATTCAAAAGTTAAAATATGCGTTCATGATACTTACCCTAAAATCAGATAGAATTTGGATAACTTTAGGGAACTTTGATTCACTTCTATTTTAACTGTTCTGTCTGTATGTTGTCCACAAAAGCAATTAAGCAAGAGTTTTGATTTGACTCAGTCTTTACACTAAACTTGATGCAGCAATTTTGAGTTCGACATGCAGATTAAAACACTTTTTTTTACCTGCTGAACTGGTAAAGCATGGGAGATCATTCCAGTTTCAAGAAAGGCCAGGAATTACGCTGTGTCCCTTCCCGTGTGGTGCTTTTCTGGGCTGCTGCTCCTACAGCATTCCTGTTGCTAACCTGTACCCTTGTGAAGGCTCTCTGCCATGGCTACAAGTTCATAATATACATATATTATAATATAGTATACATCAGTGTGTGCCTCATATCACCTATACAGAGATATTCCCTCCAAAGACAAGGTAACAGCTGCTCAGCAGGAACACCATTCAGAAAATGCAGGTCTTGCCCAGGTCTGAAAGGTTTGTAGCAAGAGCAGGAATAAGCACTTGCACTGTTTAAGGAGAAAAGCAGCTATTTTTTGCACGTTCCTCGAGGGGTGCTTCAAGCATGGAATTTGCCTATTGAACCCTTGATGCTGCTATGCAACCACTGCTCTTAATCTTGCCCCAAAGCTGGTTTTGAACCATACACTCAAGAGATGAAAGGCACCATTTAGCTTCTAACTATTCAGCCTCTCCTGTCTTTCTTCCCCTTGTTCTCTCTCCTTGAAGCTCTGCATTAGGTGTTATCCCCAATCAAATTTTTTGATAGCACCAAACTGTTTAGAAAGGTGTTTTAGAGAACATCTGTTTAATGTGTATCTTGAGTACACTTTGTGGTGGGGGTATCTTCTGTCAAACTGGGTGCAATTCCATTTTACAATGCACAGTTAATGCCTTGCCCGAGTGTGTTTTGAGGGCTGCTAAATAATATTGACATGTCAAATATATGGGTGAATGTTTTATGATCTATCACACATAAATCTCAGAAAAAAAGAGTCCAAATCTGTGACATAGTGTTTAATCTTCTACTTAGGAGGAGTATTGATTGATTTAGTTACATTCTGTTAGTACCTGGACTACCCTCACTGATACCAGTGGCTGTCCTGGGCTAAAAGGCTAGGATCTGACCTACTGTTCCTTCAGGTGGCTCAGTTTCCATATCACAGAGAGTTTCTAAATCTGGGAAACAGATGGTTTGTATTTAGACAACAGCAGCCAGCACTTTAGAGTGGTAATTCAGCCTGGTTTGTTACACAGGGATGAGAGTGATTCAGTGGAATCATGAAAAGGTGTCCATGTTAGCAAAAAATAAAAAGGATGCATTTTGCCATACTAAAAGGAAAGAAAGGTTAAACTTTAAATGGACTTGAGCCATACGTTGGCAGCAGTGCCTGTTGGACATGCTTGGAGGAAACTTGCTTTTGTACCACCTGTGCTGCAGCTGGTCTCCAGAGTAGAAGAGGACTCTGCGCTTCATCTCCAGAATTAAGTAATGTCCCATTTTTCTCTTTGTAGGATGATGCTAGCACCTCTCCTTCACCCAGTACACGAGGTCCCACCCAGCAGCAGCAAAATTCATCAGGTATTAAATCAAACTACTAGTGGTTTAGTTGTCTTCTGAATCTAGTCTTCTCCACCACATCTAGACTCTGGGTTCATTGTCCTACTTCTGAGTGCAGCAGCAGTAACTAACAGAAAAATTCCCAAATACCTATTGTTTTAAAAACTGTACTCAGCAAGAAATGGTGCTTCACCGCCAAGAAAATGACAATACAGCAATTTAGTTAAAGGGTCCAGACCTGTAGCTGAGGATCTGTGTCTTCAACATTGTGCACCTGAATCTTCTAAGAGAAAAAAGCTATATTACTTTACTTTTGGTAGTGTAGCTGTCCTGGTTTATACAGTTGGGGTTTCGGTCTCAAACTGTTATCCTTCCTTAACCTAGTAGCTTGCTGCAGTAAGCCTGATCCTGAAAGTTACTAGGTGAAATTAAGGAGCCCCCAAAATATGTTTTTCCTATGATGAGTTGAAATAACTGTATCTGAATAGATAAGCTGCAAGCTAGTCAGATGCATTCTTGCATCAGCCTTGGCTTTCATACATGCTAAAAGAAACCTCTCCCAAGGGAATGAGTATTTAACTATTCCAGCTTCCTTTTGGAACAAAGCCATGATTTGCGTGTTTTGCAAGGGAAAGGGAAGAAGCCAGGAGAAAGGTGCACGTAAATGAGGAATGAGATCTAGAAATTTCCTGGGAGTGCCCGTAATTCTTTTAAAGAGATTTTTAGGGCCTCACAGAGGAGCAAACCCTTGTGTATAAAGTTGTGTGTTATTCAAGTCTCTGAAACAGTTCACTTTATTTTAGACTATTTGCATAGGAGGAGATTGGGATGATAGTACGAGTTTTCAGTAACAAGGGTTATGTAGTGCAGCTTGTGGGGATGTTTTGCGAGTTAGAAATGCAGACAACATTAAATAAATTCTCTGTGGAGATTTGCATAGTGGGGGTCTCACTGCCTTTTTTTAGATACACCCACATTTTCTGCCAGCTATGCAGACAAAAAACCTAAGACTTTTTAACTTAAAATATAAATAAGTAGTATACTGAATAAAATAAGCCTTGCAGCAATTAGCCTGTATTTCTTAATAGAACTGATTTATGCTTTTCCTCCTACTGTTCCAGTTCCATGTCTTTTTAGTATCGTTTAACTATCCAGTCCCTAATTAAAGGGATCACTAAGCAGATTTTTGCCAATGCTTTCTCTATAATGTAGGCAACTGCACTCATTCAGCAATCACGCCTCTCTGGATCTTTCTAAGTCACTCATCCTCCTGAATGAAAGCAGCTGTATAAGATAATCAACTTCAGGATTTTTTTATCATTAGAGAAAAAATAATAAACAGTAACTTTTTATTTTTGTTTTCCAGACTCTGGGAAGAAGCCATGGGAAAGGAGCAATTCTGTTGAAAAGCCTGTATCTTCATTACTTTCTAGGTGAGCTGCACGGGGTGTCCCTGCGGCTGGCTAGCAGTCGGGATGGTCATGCTGTCCCCGTGGCACATGCACAACTCATGTCTCGTTTCATTCCATTGCTGTAGAAATCCATCAGTGGTGAAGAGCTGTGAAGCTAAGAGCCCCACACAATCCCACGTGTCTTCTAGGTACTGGCTAAAAGCCTGGCTTCTTAACCATCTTGGCTTGTCCTTTGGCTAATCCATTCAGCACTAATGTTCGTCTTCTGTCACGTCTTTTACTCATTCTCTTACAATCTGCTTTGTCTGTTGCTGCACAAAGTGTGTAGGTAGAGTGTGTCATGTCAAAGGCTTGTTCCATGGAAACAGCCCCCTGCTCAGGTGGGCACAGGCATCACAGACGTTAATCACACTTAAGCAAGCACTTAAAGCATCTGTACTCGTGAATCAGAGGCACAGGCTTGGCAGCATGCTGTGCCACGTGGAAGGCAGGTTTTGGAGCATCTTTTCACAGCAGGTTCAGGATGACCCTGCCAATAGGAGAAGTTTTCATTGTCCAACCTCTGCAGAAATTCAAAAGCAAAGGCAGAAATGATCTGAAGAGCTTGCAACTGGGAGAAGGGAAGTTATTCCTCTGTCCATGCAACCGCAGTGGGTGCATGGGAAAGGAGAACAAATTTTGGTGCAGTAAGTTAGTAACATTGAGCTGTAAAAAGGCCCAGCCACAGGGCACAAAAGCTGGCAGGTGTCAAAAGCCAAGAAGCCCAAAGTAGGACTCCAGAAGTCCTGTCAGTCAGAATAGCCAAGCTGCAGTATCACCACCCATGTTCTTACCCACAGAGATTGACATTTTAGACAGCTAAAGAGAGATTTCCTTCCAGTGCTGGTCCAGGACCACCCAGTGTTACTGCAGTCGTGGACACTGAGATGGACGGGTAAGCTGAATAAGGAGGTAGAACACAGACTTACATATGTTTAGTATTTACTGCAAAGAGATGTCCCTCATTTTGCACTGTTACATGTATGACAGTGCTGATAGTCTGCAGAGAGAAAGTTGCCAATGGCAACTATCTGCACATACTTGCTGCTGTGTTAAAGATGCTGGAACATGCCCTGCCCAAACATTCAGAGGGATGCACCAGTGTTACTAGAGCAAAATATAGTCTCTCCAGCTCTCCTAAAACCAATGGGACATGCTGGTTCTAGGAAATACGTGAGTTTCCAATAGATATAGAAAGGCCATTCCTTCTCCCTGCAAATGGGAGTGAAACATGGGCTATTTAAAGCAGCCATCAAGTTTTCACCAGCTATCTTCTATAATGCCATTCCATCCTGGGAGAAGGAGAAGTTCAGTGGGAAAAAATCCTGTCGTAGTTTAACACCTGGAGTAGTGCATAGTGCAAGTCTTCGCTTGCTCAAATGACTTCTGTGGGGGAAGTGGGGCAGGTTTCAAAAGCTCTCAGGGGTGACTTGTTTCCGTTCCTGTTCAGTTTGATGGCATTTGTACCTGTCTTAACTCCCAGCTTAGCTGTGAGATGGTAGGAGACATGTTAAGATTTTCCTGAGAAAATGTTGCAAGACCAAATGTACCCTCAGGAGCAGCAGAATCTCTGCCAGCCCCCAGTTTGGGCCCAGAGATGATGGCAAAGTTATTTGAAGCCTCTTCTACGAATTATATAGCATGGTTAATTTTTGAAATGTTTTAGAGTTACTGATTAAAAGAGAAAGTCAAGCAGCTTCTGCTTCCTTAATTTATTTTATCAGCCATCATCAGAGTTCAGCCCACTAATACCATCCTGGAAGACCAATAACACTCAAGTGTACTAGCCATTGAGGACGGATTGGTTTTGTTCCTGGGTCAAGAAAAAGTGCCTGTGCTACACAGTGCTATCAACAAGCTCCACTTGACTCAGTCAGGCCTTCCAAGGAAAGGTTTACTGGGTTATTATTTTCCCTATAATATTTTTCTAACCTGTATTCTACTACTACTTTAGCATCCGATTAAAGTCTAGGTGACCAAGACAGGGTTGCTGTACAGAAAACACTGTGAGAGAAAACCAGACACCTAGCTTGCAAATTGCAAATGCTGTAATGAAATACATTGTTAAACAGGCTTTATCCCCTGAAGACATCTCAGCATTTTCTAGTCTGAAATCACTGAGATTCTCAACACCAAAAAAAAAAAGAGTAAATTAAGTTTCAGTGCAGTCTTTGTGCTCCCTTCAATATGTCTGCAAGAGGAGAAAGCAGCACCTTTGAGGGTCAGGCTGTGCCAACAGGAGCAGTGCTGCTCTCCGGCTGCCGAACGCTCCTGAGCGGCACAAGAGGGAGCCTCCGGTCCAGCGCTCAAACACGGGTGTTCCTGCTCTGGGGTGGATTTCATCCACACCGTCAGGTGGGGGTAGCTTAGCGTGCATTGCAAGGAACTGACTTGCTTTTTTGTCCTCCTCTTCCATTTCTCAAGGATGAAGCCAGTGAGCAGCAGCAATGATGTGGCTATGGATGCCTTAGATTTTGATCGAATGAAACAGGTGAGTGAAAAGGTCTTTTGCACTTAAGAGATTTGACGAGCTACCCATTTTCCCCCATGCATGCGCTGTACAAGCAAAACAGCTGTTCAGTCTTCTGGTTTCCTCTATAACTAGGTGCTTAGAGAAGGGCTAGCTGCTGAGCAGCAAGAGAGCACAATCTCACTGCTCTTTGATCAAGATGTCTGTACAGAACGTGCAAATAAATATGCCAGCACCTTCTGCGTCCTTGGCCTGGGAGTGCAGACGTAGCTGTTAGTAGTGCTAGGCTCTGATCGTCAGTGGAGGCGGGGGACAAGCACAACCGTGTTAAACTTGCATTTTCTTCCACCGGTTAGAAGGAAATTCTGAGCAGCTGACTTGTGTTTTGTCTCATCAGGAAATATTGGAGGAAGTTGTAAGAGAGTTACACAAAGTGAAAGAGGAGATAATTGATGGTAAGAAAGAGAAAAATTATTATTTTTCTCATCTTTATGACTAATTTCCTGTAGATAAGATGATAGGAACTGCAGAGAGTTCCCTGGTGTTTTCAGACTTCTCTGAGCAGCTCTGATTTATATACACATTTGAAGAACAAGCATCTACCTTATCTGAGCTCTGATCATGACATTGTGTTTACATCCTTTATTTTTATGCTGTTGACGAGCACTTTCACTCCCAACCTGTGAGAAATTCACTGGCCGGTGTTTCTCACAGGTGGGAGGGTGAGAAAGGGCCTGCCCGTAGCCCGTGGCATGTCAATTTATCACAATCAGGGAGCGTGAAATCGCATGTAACTAGCCAGCCACACAGGTCCGGGATGAGGAGGGGACAAAGGTACTAAACCGAAAATCCTTCCTGAGCATCTTCTGTAGGCTTCCTATGCTTGAAGAGCTATTTCAGACCTTCACTCGATTACAGCTTTCCAAGTAGCCATGTATTTTTATAATTCATTGAAAAGTACAACAGCTGTACTAAATGTAGCAGTACTTTTTCATAAATTGCTCTGCAATATATGACTAAATGTATTTTTCAGGGCCATTATTGAAATACACAGCAAAATACCTATTTGAAGCCTGCATTAGGGCATATGAAGATGCATGTCCATACCCTGCACTCCCCATCTTTGATTCACACAGAAGGGGAAAAAGAGGAGACTGTAAAACAGCTAAAATCCATTCCCTGTCCCCTTGCCCTAGACTTGTGTGCTCACAAAACCTCGGGGCAGTTTGCAGTTGAGGACACCCTCGCCCATACGCTACCGTCCCAGCAGCTTGGCCCTCAGAGCCTCCCTAGTTCATTCCAGTGCAAAATAAGACACTCACGTAAATCACAGATGCGACTTCTTAAGCCAGTACTGCAGTTTGCAAGCAAACAGCTGACTGCTTACCCTTACTCATCCTTTTACCCTCCACTCATCTTTTTACCAGCGTGTACTTTCTGCAAGCTCTATACTTAGCGTTTTCCATCACACTGGGTATAACATTATGCATTAACTTTTTGGTTTGGTTTTCTAGCCATACGGCAGGAGTTGAGTAGAATCAGTACAACATAATGATTGCAAAGCATTTGGACGGTACTAAGAATGCTAGGAAGATCGGATCATTTCTAAGTGTACCAAGGTCATGCAAGATGGTGAGAGAGGACACCGGCACTGTCTTTGTTCTTATACCCTTTTTATTAGCAGACTCAGCACACTTTGAAGCTTGCTGCTGCCTTGGATTTGCTTCATTTTAAAAGTCTTAATCTAAAGAATATTAAATTTTAAATTTCTGGATTTTTTAGATTTCATCTGACACTGCACATTGGATTTGTCAGCCTTTTTTGTATTTTGTATTTGCTTATTTAAATGTATTACCTTTCTTTTTAGTAGTAGATAAGAACACACGTGAACCATTTGCTTTTGATAGATGACTTCAAAGTAATTTTACTAGTAGTCTGCAATGTAAATGAAGATCCTTTGCCAACAGAAATGTATTGTGGCATCACCAGAAGAAACAGAGACATGTTAGTTGTCAGCCAACCAGTTCTTTGTCTCAGAGTTATCACAATATAAAAAAAAATGGTACGTCAGTGCATCACAGTATCTGTGTTCATATTGGTAATAAACTGTTTATTGTCCACATGGCCCTGCCTGCCTTTGTTTCATTCGTCCCTTGAGCTCCCACACTTTTATGTCACTTGGGTTGATGATGAAAGGAAGGTGACTGAGACTCACCGTGGGGTGGCAGCTGTGCCCGGCCAGCGCCACAGGGCACGAGGAGAGAGCCCGAGTGTCTTACAGCTGGTGCAGCGGCAACAGCCCTGCCTTCTTTTGCAGGGAGACGTGGCTCTCGCCTGCCCGGCCCTCCTTGCGTCGCCAGTTGAGCACCACTTCCTGCAGTCAGGCTGCGGCACCCTCAGCAACTTTTTGCCAAAGTCAGTGAAGGACAGTGGCTTACGGCTCTTCTCAGGCCACCACTAACTGTCCCACTGCATCTCCTGCCACCACTGAAAAAACCCCAGATCCCATCACCTGCGCTCATAAGGGCTTCCAGTAAATAAAAGGGAAGTATTTATGCAGAACAAGGCTACCGAAGGCATTAGGAAGATGCAAGCTGAAATCACTGGCACAGCACTGCTGAACTAGAGGCTTAAGGGGAGTCATTTGTTAATATCTCACGTATTTCATTTGTTAATGTTATGCAGGTCTTGAGCTTTATTTCACAGAAAGTGAAGTCAAAGATAGGAGTACAGGGTGCTGAACACTTAACAGCGCACACCCTGTCATATCTTTCAGGTCATACAATTTTTTTCTTTAGAGCCATTCTTTCCACCAGGGCGATCTTGGGAATTTCTGCTTGACTTAGTTTGGCGCAAGCTTTACATGGCAGTAGTCTTGATACCATCTTCATGATAACTTTGTGCAAAAGGCAAGAGATTGGAGATCAGCTATTGAAAACTGTCAAATATTTTCCAAGCCCCCCTGCATTGCTTCAGGCCTTTCTGAAGATTTCATTTTAAAAGCCTGGCCCTGGGAATGGTTTTGGGAGCAGAGCCTGATGCAGCAGCCCAGGAGAGGCTGTGGCTGTCCCCTTGCTCACGTCCCCCAGGCCTCACAGAGCACAGCAGCAGGCAGGAGGGACTGCCTGCCGGCAACAGGAGACCCAGGAGAGGAGGCGGGGTGGGGCATGCTTTGCAGTTAGTTGTAAAATGTTACCTGCTTTGGCTTGGAGAATGTGGGGTTGTCCTTCAGCACTCTTCAAAGCAACCCCATCTGCCTCTTAGAAGACAGTCTGTTTTTCAGTGTGGTTATACTGTAGATTAAATATGGGAAAAATGGGAGAAATTTGAGTTTAATGCAACAGTGAGGTCCAGACTGAGCCTGATGTCTGTTAGCTGTTTAATGCCAGCAGAAAGCAAGAGACAGGTTAGACAGTGGCGTAAGATTTCCACATGGGAACTAAAGCAGGCAGGCATTGGTGTGCAACATAATACGACAACCCCAGGACCAGGAAAAGGAGCCTTTCCCGTAGGAAGAACACAGACAAGCATCAGTAACAGCAAAGATTATAATGCTCTGTTGCATAAATCTCATACAGTAGCTCATGCATTTATTAATTATAAACCCATGTAATGGCATACATGACAATGGCAAGTACTTTGCAAAACTGCTGCCTCTCAGATGATCACAACCATTCTGTGAAACTCTCCCGTGATCTTAATTAAGCTTCAGGAAGTTGGGGCCTGGCATGGTTCATGTTTTGCCTTGGAATGTGGCATTATGCCTAAGGTCAGTAATAACCACGTGGTAATTCGGGCCAAGTGTACAGCCTGGATACAGCGTGCCCCTCTGTTAACATCAGCCACCTGCTGTAAATGAGTTTTCCTTACTTTCTTCTTCTACCTTTGCAGGACTCATATCATTAAGACATAATGAGCTGAAGTTTGCACAGGGCCACTTAACAGCTGTGGGAGCAAGGTGCACGGGGGTGGAAGGGGAAGCTTGGCTGACAGGGGCAGGGGAGCAGTCCTGGCATCACCGGTGTTTTGCTGGTTCCCAGCCTACGGCTCCAATGACAGGGATGTGCAGGGCGGCTTATCTGCAGCAGTGGCACTGCCAGAGGATTTCCCCCTCCCAGACGCTAACTCAGTTTGCCTGTTGCCTCTGTAGAAAAGGGCGTCCCTTCATGCTGGGCTTGTTAAGGGTACCGCTGCAACAGGGCAGGCCACAGGCATTTTACATCAACAGAATCAAAAGGGGCATTAACCTCCGCTCCAACCTGTCATACAGCTATTTGTCCCTCCAATCTCCTCTTGCCAGAGCATTAGTGTGGCCACACAATGAAGGGGATCTGGATTAATTTTTAAGCAAAGAGAATAAAACTATACATAGCCCCAGTGTTCTTTTAACCCAGACCCATTTGCCCTGTGGTTACAAAAAAAACCCCTTTCTGCCAACTTTACTGGTAGTGGCAAGGACAAGCGCCCATGGAGAGGACAAGATCACAGCCTTCTCCAGCAGCACCCACAGACACTGAAACTCATCTTGCACCACACACCTGCAGGCACCAGGCTTCCAGCCACTTCAAATTCCCGCTGAGATGGACAGTGCAGAGCAGGAGGGCTGTGGGGCTGCCCAGGCAAAGCAAGGTGGGACAGTGACAGAAATGCTGATGGAAGACAGGATGAGAAGCGGTTGTCAATTTTGGTTATCTTCTGTTTACACCATAGCCTCTATGTCAGGCTAGGCTAGTAATCTATAGACTAGAGGTGACTGCATCATGGATCAGCTGAGTAAGGGAACTATAGAAAGGTCACTCTCCATAGAGGAGAAGGACAATAGTCAGACTGAGGAAGATAGCATAATCTTTATTATGGTTTTTATATTAACTTGCTGAGTTGGCCAAGCTTGCTAAGGACACGGGAGGTTGAATATGTGATCATGGAGTTCCAGCAACACTGAAGTAAATTAATGAAAAAGTGAAGCTCCTGACATGAGCAGCAACACAAGTCAATGGAGGTTCCCACGCCAAAGCTACTTCCTTTGGGAGAAAAGGCACCTGAAGAACCAGTGAAGTCTGAAGTGTCAGAAGAAATCCCGTTCTTCCTCTTCTTTTCCAGAAAAAGAACCAGACCAAAACAATATCTGTGAATGAACTGGTATTCAGCCCCTGCACCACAAAGGATCTTGCACTGCTAAGAAAACCTGGGTATTTACTCAGCTGCCAAAACCATACAGATGAGGAAAATGAAGGAAAGGGAAATGGAAGAGGAGGAACCCAAATTGCTGCAGGTTCGCTTGGCTGCCTGGTGTGCCAGGCTAGCGAATGGACAGACTGACTTACTGGATCCAGTGCTGTAGGAGGAAGGAATGAAACTGTGTTTATTGAGGAAATCAGGCTTCCCAGGTCTAATAGCATATTTTGAGGGACCAGTGAGAATGCAGAATGATCCTTTTCTTTGTTACAGACATGGATTTCCAGAACAAAACAAAAAAGTCAAACTGTTAGAGGGTTAGGGTATAAGAGAACCTTTATAGATCTATTCTCTTTTAACCACTTAGTAAGGACAGAAATAAGTTGTCAGCTTTCCAGGGTGGAGGGAAGTTATTAGATGGCATCTGAGCTCCTGACTCCCAAGGTATTGTTCTGCTTGGAGAAAGGTACGGTGATTAAGGTGTTTGATGATACAGAATTACTGAGAATAGCCAGGAGTTGATAGTTGGAGAAGACAGGCAGGGAGATTTAACTATTCCAGTGGGCAGAAATGAGCGATGAAGGTTAATGTCAATAGCATAAAGACAGACACGTAGGGAGAGAAACAACCCCAGCTCCGTGTTCCAGGTATATCCCCTTAACACCATCAGTGGCAACTTTTATATAGCTGGAGCATATACACACAAGCATATACATATGCTTCCCAAATGTCAAGTTGGTGCCCCTTGAATGACAGAGGAAAAAAGTTACAATTATTCTGAAAGTGATTAGGAACAAATATCACCATAACGTCTCCATGTCTTCACTGACACATACTCCTAACTCCTATGCACAGAAAGGGGTGTTATATAGAGAAGACCAAGAAAGGTGATAAGGAATATTAACAACCTTGGCAAGCAGCAATTAAAACTAGAACCTTTCCACTCCCAGAAGGACTTACAGTGGGGAAAAGGATGAGAAACATGAAGTTATGAATACTGTTGAAAAGGTGAGTGAGAAAGGACCACCCATTTCCTCCAGGGGCACATCCATGCTGCTGATCTGGCGCAAGTGAAAGACTAAAGGAAGGGTTTCTCCACGCCACAGTTCAGCTCTGCCAGTTAGCTACACTGAGTATTAGATCCTAAGAACAGAAATGCATTCAGAAAAGGTTTAGACAAAGCCCTGGAATAAAGGTCAAACAGCAGCTACTAAAATAATGATACAAATGTACAAAAATATACACATACTCCATTGCATATACAAAATCTCTGCTACCAGCAATTATCAGAAGAGATTAGATTAGACAAGCCATTGAGCTAAAGGCACCCTTGTGTTTTCCAGAAAGTATCATTTACTACCGCGTGCCAGTCCTCCCTGCTTCCACAGTCCTGTGCACGCAGAGCATCTACATCTAATCTGGCATGAAGAGAAACCAGTCCTAAACTACACACATGCACGCTTACACATACACGCACCAAGCATTCTCCGTTGCAGACCAGGGCAAAACTCAGACTTAGGCACATGTGGCCCAGGAAGTTAATTCTAAGCTTAGACCAAAGGTTCACGTAATCATAGCTCACTCTAATCTAGTTTCTCAGCATTACACACACAAATATCCTTTATTAAAAAGTATCAATAGTCTAAAATAGTGCATCCAATTCCTTCATTTTCACACTCATCCTCTTGGCCTAAGGAGCACACACCAATGCTAATTCAGCACACACAAACATCCTCTACTTCTGCAGAAAACTCAAGTCATTCAAATAAACAAACAAAACACCAATGCAGCAGTCCATTAGCTTTCTTTTGCCAGCTTGCATAGTCTCTTAACCCTTGAATAAGGACCAATAGTGTCATCAAAAACAAAGTCCCACAGAACTCGAATCCAGGACTGGTGATGTGGGAGGTTATCATAATATTCTGCTGCAATCTTCTTCACCTGGAAGA